TGTCCCGCCCTGGAGGCGGGGGAGCTGCGCCGCGGCCCCGGGACGAGCCCCGCAAGGTTTCGGAAAACTTCCCTTTCCAACTTTCTCCAACTTTCTCCAACTTTGGGTTTCTGCTGTTGGAAAGAAAAGATGCCTCGTCAGTAGGAGTAGGGGTTAGACGAGTTGTTTGGATAACTTAAAATATAGAACTTACTAGATTTGTATTTTTATGGAAGTCACTTGTGCATGCAAGTTTAGAAGGAGTTTGTGTAGCAACCGGCCCTGGGAGCGCCAGCGCCTCCCTCGGAAGCAAAGGGCAGCCGGACGTGCTGAGCGTGACGAGCCGCGGGCTCCCTGAGCCCGGCCGAGCCCCTGCGCGTGCAGCGCCGCTCTGAGGACGCGCTTCAGGGAGCAGGGTCAGAATGCGGACCCTCCGGCCCTACCGCTGTGCACAGCACATTGTTCCTTGTCTCTGATCCCAGAGTTTTGTGTCTTCTGCCAGCACCCAGGAAACTGGCGACCTAACCGGTTAGCCTGCAAGTAGGGTGAAATCTCAGACCCTTCAGCTGCTGACAAGCAGCATCCACCCCCCCCAGCCTCTTGTCCAGAAAAACTCCACTTTGACAGCTTTTCTTGGTATTTATCCCCTCCATGTTTCCAAATTTATTGATTTTCACGTGTAGCCATTATCTGTGGTCCAGCTGAACAGTCACTTCTCGTTCCCTCCAACTGTTCTTTTTCTCCTTGCCTCCTATCAGTCAGTATACATAGATCGTAATTTCGGTCAGTCAGAAGCCTTGCCTACTATTTGCATAATTATACTCATATACTCACAGCTGAAACATGGTTCATTCTGATTATTATCTCTCAAAACTTATTTCCTCTGGAATTAAAAATTGTCTTGCACGTGACACCTGTATAATTTTGTTAACCAGCGTCGTCACCCCTATAAATTCAGTAAAAAAAATCCACAAAAATATTCCATAGAAAAACTGAGGGGAAAAAATTTGTCTTGTTTTCCCATTTGCTTGGTTGCCTGCGTTAATGGCAGTGACTTAACCTTGACATCTTGGCCACCTGCGTAAATCTCCTCTGAAGAGACCTGTGCAAATCAGTTATTCTCATAATTCTGTCGTCCCGAGAAAGCCTCCTCAGAGCCCGTGGCCTGCTGTGGTATGGACAGCTACCCTCTGACCCTTCCACACAGCTGTCCCCCTGGCTCGCCTGGCCTGGCACCACTACCCTGGAGCTCCCTTTGCCTCTCTCTCATATGTCTCCCTTATTCTTTGCATCCCAGGTCTTCCTCTTTCTTGGGGGGACACATTCTAATAAACACAGAATTTCAGGCAGGAAATAATTTTCTTTCCAAAACTTGAAGGCCTGTACTATTGCCTCCTGTGCTCCAGTACTGCTGTTCAGGAATCCAAAAGCTGTTTTGAACCCAGACCTTTTCTAACTCTCTCTCTCTCTGGAAATTTGTAGGCAATTTTCCCAGGTCCCATGTTCCAGATTTTACAAGGATGTGCTGTGTGTAGTTTCGTTTTCATTTACTATGGCAGGCACACTGTGGGCCCTTTCAAATAGAAACATCTTATTAAATTCTTAGAAATTGTCTTTAAAAAAATTCAGTTATCATTTATTAAATTTTGTGAAGTCCAATGCATTAAAAAAATAGGTTTTATTATTATTTTTTTAAAATTACATATGTCTTTATTGATTTCAGAGAGAGGAAGGGAGAGGGAGAGAGATAGAAACATCAGATATGAGAGAGTCATTGATGGGCTGCCTCCTGCACGGCCCCTGCTGGGAATCGAGCCTGCACCCCCTGCATGTGCCCTGACTGGGAATCGAACTGAGATCTCCTGGATCCTAGGTCGATGCTCAACTGCTGAGCAGTGCCAGCCAGGCAGGTTTTATTTTTTAGAGCAGTTTTAGATTCACAGCAAAATTGAGGAACAATTACCAAGTTCCCATATGCCTCCTGTCCCCACACAGGCACAGACTCCATTTCCAGCCTCCCTCACCAGAGTGGTACATTGTTACAATCGATGAACCTGCACTGCCACATCGTTACCATCCAGAGTTCATAGTTTTCATTAGGGTTCACTCTTGGTGGTATACATTCTATGGGTTTGGACAAATGTATAAGGACATGTATCCA